TGCATTTCGTCGATACATATCGGACACACAGACTGCTCCGTGTCGGGTAACTCATCAGAACTTCTGACCAAGGACGAGACCTTACCTTTTTTGGTATTAGCCTCTACCCATTGCGACCATTTCTCAACGAAAGCACACGTGGCAGCATCATTCCCATCAGCAGACATGTCGGTGATAGAGGCGACACGAGTCAAGCGAGACTCAACGACATAGGCATAAGCCATGATGATGACGGGCGGTGGTACAGCCAGAAAGGAAATGTATATTATAATCTCCACGAGATAGTCATATGACGATGACGTGTAAAGAACACCAAAACCGAAGGATGCCATGCCGAGGATCCAAAGGGCCCAGAGCCAGAGATAGGGCCGACTGAACGCTCGCTGGAGGGCTCTGTGCCACGGGTTATTATCCATTGGCTGATGATGATATGCTACTCTGACACAATGCATCACGATGGCGATCAGGCAGGAAACTCAACACTGTTCTTAGGAAAAGGCTAAGACCATTGAGTCACGAGACGAGCGAGAGCTATAATAATCACGAATTGCTGCATCTCGACGACTCAAAATGACGAGAAATTATTGGACGGCTGTATGAGAACAGCCACGAAATACAACTCACTAGAAAATTCATAATCGCCATCATAATAATCATGGTACGGCATGGTACAGGAGAGACCGCCAAACAGCAATGGGTGACTATAAGGTCATCAGAGCCAGGGTTTATCGATTATCACAAGCTGCAGTCCAAAAACGGACCCAACGGCTCACGACAAAGCGGACATTCATGTTGCCTCTTGGCACCCAGAGGAAAATGACCATAAAAAAAGTGTTGAAAACACTGCTCGTGCAGAATATGACGACAGGGCAGCTCTCTGACGGTATCGTCCACCTCGAACTCGGCCAGACATATGCTACAGCACTCACCCTCCTCCGCATGTTCACGAGGAAGGGACGCTATTGAGACACACTTAGTATGCCCAGAGGACCAGATCTTCCATTGCTTCAAATATTCTCTACGAGCCGAGGCGTTGAGAGTCGATGCTCGTGAGAGCCTCCCTGAAGCTCCGATCAGCTCACATTCAGCCAGATATGCATATGAAATGATAAGAATAGGAGGTAGTACAGCGACAACAATTAGGTATAAAGCGCTTTCAAATGGCTTACGATGGAGATGGGAGGAAAGGACGACCGCAG